TGCTGAAAATGAAGAGAACTTCAAGCACTTACTGATGAAGATCAAAGACTATAGCCTTTAGTATGGATTACACCTGAACAAAAAGAAAACAAAAAAATCTTCACAACTGGACTGATAAGGAGTATCGTGATAAGCAGAGAAAATACTAAATTGTCAAGAATTTCATTTTACTTGGATGCACAATTAATGCCCATGAAAGCAGTGGGCAGGACATTAAATGACATACTGCATTGGGCAAATCTGCTGCAAAAGACCTCTTTAAAGTGTTAAAAAGCAAAGATGTCACTTTGAGGACTAAGATGTGCCTGGTAGAATAGTGCCTAAGGCATTTGACTGCTAACCAGAAGGCTGGCTGTTCAAACCCACCAGCCACTCCTTGGAAGGAAGGTTGGGCAATCTACTTCCGTAGTGATAACTGCCTTGGAAACCCAAGGAGGGGTCACTATGAGTTGGGGCCAACTCGATGGCACATAACAACAACAACAATAACCCAAGCCGTGGTATTTTTCAGTCACCTTATATGCACGTGAAAGCTGCACAATGAATAAAGAAAACGGAAGAATTATTGATGAATTTGAATTATGGTATTGGCAAAGAATATTGAATTTACCTCAGAAACCCAAGGAGGGGTCACTGTGAGTCAGGTCCGACTTGATGGCACATAATGACAACAACAACAATGAACTGCTAGAAGAATGAACAAATCTATTTTTGAAGGAGTACAGCAAGAATGCTTCTTAGAAGTGAGGAAGGCAAGACTTCATGTCATGTGCTTTGGACGTGTTATCTGGAGGGACCAGTTCCTGGAGGTGGACATCATGCTTGTTAAAATAGAGGGTCAGCAAAAGAAGGAAAGCCCTTCACTGAAATGGATTGGCACTGTGGCTGCAACAGTGGACTCAAACAGCAAATATTGTGAGGATGGTGTAGGACTGGGCAGTGTTTCATTCTGTTGTACATGGGGTCTCTATGACTTGGAACCGACTTGGTGACATTTAACATCCACACATAACATTCCTTTTTATGTTCATACTTTGTCTATCCCCATCTCCACCATCATGAATTCAAGATAGTTCCTTTTTTTGCTTTGTAAACAGTGCCATAACTTTTTTATATAGTTATTCTTTTGCATTTATTGATAGATTTGTAGATAGGATATATGTATTTTAAATTTTGATAGATTTTGTGAAATTGTCTTTCAAACATTTGTAACAATTTACATGCCTACTCAGAACAGTGTGTGAATGTCTCCATTTCTACAACCTTGGCAGTTCTGGATGCTATGAATTATTATGTAGTTTCCAAGTCTCATAGGTGAAAAATAGTATTTCATTGTTGTTTTACTTGGCATGTCATTAATAGTGAAGTTGAGTATCTCACTGCTTTTTGATTATTTTAATTATTTCTTTAAATTGCCTGTTCCTATCCTTTGCTCATTGAAAAAAGAGGGCTGTAGACAATTTATCTATTTCTTATTGATTGGTAGAAATCCTCTCTATAGTAGATATTAACTCTATTCTTTGTCATATGTATTTCAAATATTCTTCAGTTTTTTACTTTCAGTTTTTTAAAAGAGCATAAGTCTGCTTTATGGGAAAATAGTTTAAAAATTTCTGTCAAAGATAGAAACAAAACAAGAATGTTTACCATAAAAACCAGTATTTTACTAGAGGTCCTACCCACCCAGAAGTCTCATTATTTTCATACAGTATATTCACTTCAAAGAGAATCAAGACAACATATTAAAACTGGGTGCAAAAAGGGCATGGAAGCAACATCTTCCAACCTCCTCTAACTTCACAAGAGAAAGACAGAATCATCCTCAACAGCCCAAGGCTTATTCCTATGAAGCCGCCACCCTCCAGTCTTTTACCAATTCTGACACCAACTGTCCCTCCCACAGGACTCAATACTTCTCTGCTGGATTCAGTAATTGGTTGCAATGGCCACGCAGAACTTACAGATAATACTCACAATTATAGGGTTTATTAGGGAATTAATAGGCTACAATTCTTCGATCAGGGCAATCTCCCCTCTGCTATGTCCTCAGGCATGCCATTCTGGCCCTTAGCCTCTCAGCCTGGCCTCTGCCCTGCTGGGCAAGTACTACAAAGCTCTTTTAGCTCTGCCACTAGGTACACCTAGATGCCCCCCACTCCATCAGCAAGACTTCTGCCCAAGGGAGCTCAGTTTTCTTGCTCTGTAGGCCAGGTAAGCCCGCCACTCTGTCTTGTGCCTTTTGGTTCACTGTGACTGTGTCTCTACCAGAGTATCTCTCTCTGCTGGGACATTATTCTTTGCCAGGGTGTCTCTGCCAAGGAGGTCCAGGGTAGGGGTCTTGGGTGCAAGGACGCACTCTACTTCACCTCCAGCTCTTCTGTCTTGATGGCAGTGAGATCCCCTCTCTGCCTCTATTGTTGTTATGTGCTGTTGAGTTGGTAGGAGGGCTCATTTTTTTTTTTTAAATTAGGATTTGGG